AAGTTCAAATTAGTCCAATATCTAACAGAAACAGGTCAATCATTCATTTTAGCATAAAAATAGAGAAAAAAGATAAAATGACTCAAAGTTGGGATATAAATATAAAATAATCTATCTAAAAGAGAATAAAATGATGCTTTAAGCACTAAATACTTAGTGCGTATCAGAAACCTAAACCAAAACCGACACCTAAGTCTAACAAGAAAGGACCCATCTTTAAATGGGTACCTAAATTCACTTAATTTGTTTTGCATAACAGTCATGTGTGGTATCTCGACTCAGGCTGTTCAAAGCACATGAATGAAAGAAAAGATATACTGTCAAATTTTGTGGAGAAATATGGAGGGATGGTACGGTTTGAAAATAATCAGTTTTCATCTATCATGGGCTATGGAGACATCATGCAAGGAAATCTTACCATTAAGAAAGTGTATTATGTAGAAGATCTCAGACACAACCTCTTCAACATTGGTCAATTCTACAACAAGAACCTTGAGGTTCATTTTAAGGCTAACCGTTGTAGTGTCCGAACAACAGAGGGAGTTGAACTATTAGCTGGCAAAAGATGATCAAATCTTTACACGATTGATCTGTCTAACATCAAAGTCAACTCTATTGTTTGTCTTCTGTCCAAAGCCTCTATGCATCAAAACTTTTTGTGGCATAGACGACTCTCCCATTTAAACTTTGCAAATCTCAACAAGTTGATGATGGGAGGGTTGGTAAAAGGCTTACCAAAGCTCAAGTTTCAGAAAGAACACTTGTGTGCTTTTTGCGAGATGGGGAAGATGAAGAGAGCTTTTCACAAGTCCGTTCCAGAGCACAAAACTTCAAGACTGTTGCAGCTTATTCATAAAGATCTCTGTGGTTCTATGAGGACGCAAAACATCAATGGGAAAAAGTACGTGCTGGTAATGGTGGATGACTACTCATGGTACACTTGGGTCAGGTTCTTGAGAACTAAGGACGAAGCCCCCAAGCTCATCATTTTGTTCATCAAAAGTATACAAGTGAACCTACAGTTGAGCGTGCAATCGATCCGAACTAACAACAGTTTAGAATTCAAGAACAGTACATTGGATAACTAGCTAGAGTCTGTTGGGATTTATTTCAATATCTTGTCAGTGCCTCGATCTCCACAGAAAAATGGAGTGGTAGAGAGGAGGAATTGTACATTGGTAGAAGATGTGTGTACCATGCTCGTCTACTCAAAACTACCACTCTACTTTTGGGCAGAAGCGGTCAACATTGCCTGTTTCACGCAGAATTAATCCATCATCAACAAATGGTTTGGTAAAACTCCCTACACAATCATAAATAATCGTGTACCTAATATAAAGTTCTTTCGAGTTTTTGATTGCAGGTGCTATATCTTAAACGACAATGATGATCGTGGGAAGTTCAACCCTAAGGCGAACAAAACAATCTTCATCGGTTACTCCAAGGAGTCTGCAACATACTGTGTCTACAACAAAAGGACGAAGAAATTCAATGAAAGTGTGAACATTTCATTTGACGAATTAGAGGATATAACTTCTGAACACATCAGTTCGTAACCCATGCTTTTTGGAGTCTGAGTAGTAAATCAGCAAAGTCCAAATTCAGCGACAAACTCCAATGAGACTTCTAACTCTCATACTTCTGATTTGGATTTTCTGTTTGAAAATTTTCACAATGAGTATTTTGGAACAACTACAACTAATGATATTCTTTTTGTTCCAAATAATATTCAAGTTGTCAATGTGGAGGAATCAGACTTGCTTTATGAAGCTTCTACATCAAATGATATAACCGACACAACTCAAAACATTGAATCAACCAACAATGATACTCCCCAAGTGACAGAGGAGACTCTGACTTCATCTTAACAATCTCAAGTCTCTACTTCGGTCACTGATCCTCCTCAAGTGAACCAGATTACTTCAAATACAGAGACTGCTCCAACTCTCGAAATGGTACAAGATTTGTCTATGAGTTTGTATGTAGACCTGAACGCTGATCAAACAACTGTTCAACCTCTGCCTCACACAGTCAAATGGACAAAAGATCATCTTACTCAACAAATCATAGGAGATCCAAAATCCAATGTGAGAACGCAATCTGCATCTGGGAATGAATGCTTATTCACAACCTTCTTGAGCAAGGTAGAACCTTCCAAGGTCTTCGAAGCTCTTGAAGACCCAAACTGGATTATGGCAATGTAAGAGGAGATGAACTAGTTTGAACGCTTAAAGGTCTGGAGACTCGTACCACTCCCGAAGGGCAAGTCAATTATCGGTACCAAACAGGTAATAAAAAAACAAGAAGGAAGAAGATGGTGTCGTCATTTGAAACAAGGCAAGACTGGTGGCAAAGGGATACAACAAGCAAGAAGGAGTGGACTACGACGAAACTTTTGCACCGGTAGCGAGGATTGAAGCAATCCGAATGCTCTTGGCATACGGACCCATAAGAACTTCACGGTCTATCAAATAGACGTGAAAACCGCCTTCCTCAACGGAGTGTTGAAGGAAGAAGTCTATGTCTTGCAACCTGAAGGATTTATGAACGCCTCAAAACTGGACCATATTTACATCCTGGATAAAGCTCTCTACGGTCTAAAACAAGCTCCACGTGCATAGTATGACATTCTATTTGATTTTCTCGCCAAAGCTGGTTTTTCCAAAGGTAAGATCGACACAACTTTGTTCATAAAAAAATAAAGGTAAGGACATAATCTTATAAAGTAAACTACAATTTTGGTCCATTTTATATATTAGGAAAAAGAATTTATTTTAGTGGTCACCACTGTTTGAAATTCTTTTGTGTTTTGTCTTTTTAACTAATTATGTTAAAGGAGTCTAAATTACCTTAAGGATATTTTAATATTATTATTTTTTTTGTTTTATTTTATTAAATATATTTCAATTTTACATTTGTTTTATTTTATTAAATATATTTCAATTTTACAAATGCACACCTATTATCTTAAAGCTATTATTTCTATAAACGATGGTCCTCTTAAATATAATTATATATATATATATATATATATATATATGGGCCTATTCAAGGGAGAACTGAGTTGTTTGTGGTAACTGTGAGAACCAATATTAACCACAAATCAATAGATAAATTAGGAAATTTATAAATTTGATAATTTTAAATTAAAATCTTAATGCAAGGATATTTTTGGTATTTTAAAACTCTCCTCTCTCCTCTCTTCTCTCTCTGGCCACCGTCCTCCGGTGATACCACTGTAATACCTAAAAATATTGACTCTGTTAAACAAAAGATACATTGTGATACCTAATCATATATAAGATGCATA